TTTTTTTTTGGACACAAGTGTCAGAGCTTCTGTGTCCAACATAACATTTCTAGTGAAAAGTGACTTTGCGGTCTTTTGTCTTGAAGAGAATTGTAAAGTCATATTAACCAACAGTTCTGTGAATGCCACTTTCATGTCTTATTTATATAATACATTTTGAATTTGAGTGTATTGTATGGATTAATTTTAATAAATGTTTTCCTCTGTTGCAGGTAAGTGTCCCAGATTTCAGAGGATTTTAGAATGAGTGATGGGATGGGATGGGATGGGGAGGCTGTAGTATCCTTAATGTCATGTCAAATTTCCTAATTTGTTTTCTGCAGTGATAAACTAATATCATTGGCATGATAATCAACCAATTTTTTTTTAATCAGCATCAGCAGATAACTGAGCCAGATTTACAGAAGTGTCAGTTTCGTTAATGAATAATGCACAATTCACATTTTCTGTTTTCAAATATGTTTGAGTGAATTTAAATTAATGGAATAGTTCACCCAAAAATAAAAATTCTGTTATCATATACTCTCATTTATGTTGATGAAGACTTCATTTTCAGAAAACAAATGAGGATATTTTTAGTGTTCTCTAATAATTTATGTCCATCCATTGAGAGTCCATGCAACCAAAACCTTTAAGCATCAAATTTTATATATATATATATAAATATATATAAAAAAAATGTAAAAATGATTCATGTGAGCTAAGCTGACTTTATATGAGGAACAGATTTAATTTAGGCTTTTACTTTTAATTAAACATTGATCTACACATAAATAAAGCTCATCAAATATGCAACCTCACTGCTTCTTGCACCTCAAGCACAGATGAGCTTCCGTGTTTACCATCTCTTCAGAAGATGTTTGATTCATATGGATTGCTTGTATTTTTGTACAATGTAACTACAATGTATTTTTTTGAAGAGTGAATGTTTGGACTTTCAATGGATGGACAAAAATTACGAGAGAATATTAAAAATCTTTTAAATTGTGTTCCAAAGATGAATTGAAGTCTTATGGAGTAAACAATAACAGATTTTTCATTTTGGTCAATTTTTTTAAAACTGTTTGTATAGTACTGAAAAGTCTTAAAGTCCGCATGAAATCAAAATGGACTTTATTTACTTTATTAGCACACATTGCTAGTCTTGATGTGAAGTTGTGAACAATTAATCCGTGCAAGTTAATCCGCTGAAAAAAAAAATTTGTCATGGTAATCTTTAATCAAAATCTGAACATTTGCTTCCGCTCTGGAATGGCATTCCTTCTCTGATGACGTCAGTTTGACGGCTTGGGTAGAATATACTTAAACACACACCTCCAACTGTTATTAGTTGCTATGAGTGAGAGACAGAGAGGAGGAGCCCTCAATTCAATATTCCGTTTCAGCTGGAAATACGTCACTACACTGAAACAAAGCTGGCAGCAACTTCCGGTTCACGCAGACTTTAAAAACATTTTGTTTGAAGATGATTATTTATATCTTTGTCCCACACACCATCATAGAATCAGGGATTACATGAATGAACGAAGGCAATTGAGACAGCATAAATCCATAGAAGAACTAAGACAACTTCTCCAAATCGGAGAATGATTTACCTGGAAAGTACAGTATTGTGAAAAGTTTTAGGCACTTACTTTCCCCCCCCCTCTCTCTTCTTCATGTTGGCCTTACTTTAATAATGATAGTCACCAGCAGGGCAAGTGCTGTCACAGCTTGCAAGACATACAGCCTTAACTCAGGATGCACCCTGATCTGTCGCCCCATCTACATACTGACGAGTGCAATCAACTTATAACACTTCTCAAACAGTGCCACAAGGAGGTATGGAAACATCATGCACTCATGCAAGCATGCTTTTCAGAGTGAACTTTTCACCTCCTTAATTGTACAATCCGCAAAAATGCACAATCACCTGAAAATTTTATTTTGTGAATGAAGCAAACCAAGAAATGAAATGTGTCATCATTTGCCTCATTGTCTTTAGCTTAATGTAATTTCATTTTTTCTGATAATCTGTTATAAAACCTGTGCACAAATAAGAGACAGTGCTAAATGTTTATCTTATGTTTGGTTTGAAAACAGGAATGCAAGTAATTATTGTCTGGCTCTGTCTATAGCATAACGTCCTCAAGTTCTTTGGCACATGTAATGATGTGGACCGTGCAATGCGGGACTGTCTCAAGAAAGAGGTGAGGACATGAGACTTTGGAGTTTGTGACTCATTTTATTTCATACAAATACACACGTTTATTATCAACTCAAATGCTTGTTTTAAGTCTAGAAATCATTTTACCTTAGGCACTAAATCAAAAGATTTGTAAAATCAGTCTCTAAGTAAACCTCTGACTTGTCTAGCTGTCTTCGGCTAAATCATTTGCCTCTCTATTTGTCCACACAGTATCAGGCAAAGAGGGAGCGCAGCAAGGCCCACGCAGAAGAAATGAGACAGCGTTTAAAAGAACAACCAAAAGAGCATCCCTAGTATCAAACATCGCCTCCCTTGGAGGACAAAACTACTCCAGACATGAACTAGTTTCTGATGTTAGGGCGCTTGGATAATTTAAATCTGGAATGCTTTTTTGTGAGGATTAATTTATTTTGACCCTTGCCGTAAATAAGGTAGTAGAGCAAGTTGAAGATGAAACTTAAGTTTATTTAATAATGTTTAATTGCAGGCTGTGAGCTGTATCCCAGATGTGACCTGATCTGGAGAGTGGGTTTGAAACTAAACAATGTCAACATTTTGATTGTTTGAACTCCAATTAAAAAAGTTCAAAATTAACATTGTCATTAGCACATTTATTGGCAGCTTGTCTACATTAAGATATTTTCATTTATCAATTACTAATACACGAAAGAGCCTACATATCCAGTCAGTTGAATTTAAGATATTGTCAATTAGAGAAAACCAATATACCAAAGAGGATTCCAATCAAAGTGCATAAACATCTCAAAAAGGGATGTAAATGTAACTATTGCAAATGCAAATATGGTTGCCAATGTGATTTTTCATTTTTCTAAATTAGTGCATATTTGGTAGAGATTTAAAGGAATAGTTCACCCAAAAATGAAAATTTGCTGAAAACGTACTCATCCTCAGGCCATCCAAGATGTCATTAAGTAATTGAGTCACTGACTCGCAAATGAATCCTCTGCAGTGAATGGGTCAGAAGGAGAGTAGAAACAGCTGATAAAAAGACAATAATTAAATAGTAATCCACACGACTCCAGTCCATCAATTAATGTCTTACATAAAAAGCTGCATGTTTGTAAGAAACAAATCCATGAATGCATTTTAGCTTTAGAGTGTTAATAATGCATAATCCATAATAACATTACCTTATGTGGAAAAAGTCAATCCCCTGTTATCCTCTCACATCCCAGTTTAGAACGGTTTTAGACTGTTTTCACTTGTAAACGGTGCTTTATCTGTGCATATCCATCTTGATTCATGAGACAACTTTTTCAATGGAGAAAGCAATATTTCATATTTCTTGATGGATTTGTTTAATGCAAACATGCAGCTTTTCGCTTCACAAGATGTTAACCAATGGACTGGTGACATGTTCATTGCTTGTGGATTATTGTGAGTTTATTTATTTTTTAATCCGCTGTTTATCAGCTCTTTCTGACAGCACACATTTATTGTAGAGGATCCATTCAATCAATCTTGATTTTTGTAAAATGTTGCAACAAGATATTCTATCTGTTTTCTTTTCATTTATTATACAATTAACAAAAGCAAAAAAGACCTCTAACACTAGCTTGCTCTATTCTTTTTCTATTCTATCTGTTTTCTTTTTATTTATTATATTATTTAAAAAACCCTTGCTACGTGTACTGCGTTAAGCTAACTGAGACTTGTTATAGCACTTGTATATATCATTTCTCTTTTGTTGATTTTGATTGCTTCCATTGTCCTCATTTGTAAGTCGCTTTGGATAAAAGTGTCTGCTAAATGACTAAATCTAAATATAAGATATATATTTTTTTGTGTGTTAAAAATTACAGTTTTGGACATATAAGGTAATACAAATATTTTAAAAAAATACCTTAAAGTAACTACAAATGAGCATGTAAAGCAAAAATCTTTAAAAGAAATTCCGTGTGGATCATGCCCCCGATCTGCACAATGTTAACCTGTAACACCCTGCACGTTTTTGCCTTAAACCTGATACTTACTCAGTAGTACACAGAGCTCTAATTAATGTCAAACACAGAGCGGTCAGCTTGAGTGACAGTGGTACAGAAGAGGAAAGACAGTAATATGGAAGGGTGTTGTTCTGGGGAGAGACAAAGATATGTTTTGGGTCTCTGGGTTATTAGATTAGTATGAGATTTGCACACACACACACACTCACACACACTCAGTCATCGGAGGAGAATACAAAGACTTGTATAGACTTGCTATATTCATGCTTTTATTATATGATAATAAGAAATAGAAAGGCATATATATATATATATATATATATATATATACACACATATACATTTACATTTCACATTTCATTTCAACTTTGATGAACTTTTTTGATCCACTTATATATATATATATATATACAGTTAGGTCCATATATATTTGGACACTGACACAATTTTCATCATTTTGGCTCTGTATGCCACCAGAATATAATTAAAATGAAGCAATCAAGAATTGCAGTGCACTTTAATCTTTAATTCAAGGGGTTGAAATAAAATATAACATAAAATGCTTAGGAATTACAACCATTTTTATACACAGCCCCCCATTTTCGGGTGCTCAAATGTAATTGGACGAATAAATATTATCATAAATAAAATGTTAATTTTTTTATATTTTGTTGAGAATCCTTTGCACGCTCACTGAAGCTCCAGAAGGAAACACCATGCAAGAGAGTGAAAACTTTTTGAATTTGAAGATCGGGGTAAATTTAACTTATTTTGTCTTCTGGGAAACATGTAAAGTATTTTCTGTAGCTTCTGAAGGGCAATACTAAATGAAAAAAAATATGATATTTAGGCAAAATAAGAAAAATGTACACATCTTCATTCTCTTCAAAAGTTTTCACCCCCGGCTCTTAATGCATAATTTTTCCTTCTGGAGCATCCGTGAGCACTTGAACCTTCTGTAATAGTTGCATATGAGTCCCTCAGTTGTCTTTAGTATGAAAAGATGGATCTCAAAATAATTCCGTTATTGTTGGAAAGGGTTCAAATACACAAAAAAATGCTGAAAAACCAAAGAATTTGCGGGACCTGAAGGATTTTACTGAAGAACAGCGGGCAGTTTAACTGTTCAGGACAAACAAGGAACTCATGAAAAACTGTTACTAAACAAAAAAAACAGCTGTGGATCTTTCAGGTAACAACACAGTATTAAGAATCAAGCGTATGTAAACGTTTGAACGGGGTAATTTTTATAAATTCAACTATTATTTTCTCTTGTGGACTATATGTAAACATCTTTTATGTGAAATATCTTATTCAGGTCAGTACTAAATAAAAAATATCATGCATTTTGTATGATCCCTCTTATTTTGGTAAAATAATTAACATTTTGCAGATTCTGCAAGGTGTATGTAAACTTCAGGGTTCGTACGGTCATGAAAAACCTGGAAAAGTCATGGAATTTTAAAACACCAATTTCCAGGCCTGGAAAAGTTTTGGAAAAATAAGTCATGGAAATTTATTGGTAAAAATGTGTACGAACCCTGAAACTTGGTTTCAACTGTATATACTAGCTATTTCAAATTATCATATGCAAATCCAAGAATCCATGGTCAACATGCGTATGTGTCTGTGAGCTGCTGAATCTGTCATGTGTGAATGTTCAGGACAGGGGTGAAAAATTTGGCCTATTCCAGCAATGCCTTGAGCACTATGTGTTCAGTTACAAGTAATGTTATTCCAGCTGGAATATATCGGTTTACATAATGACGTTTTTAATTGTGCTTGGTCAGGCATGACAGAGTGAATTTTACAAGGATATACATTCTGCATACCCGGCTGCAAATGGCTCTGTGTCTTGGTCCCAGGGCCCCTGTGCTGCTTAGGTAATAAAATGTAAAAGCTCCCATGATGACTGGAGGGAACATGTTCTGCCAACATTAGCGTAAGGGAATTGTCTTTTCTGCAGTGCAAACAAGCTATGAAACATGGCCAACATTGTAATTTCAGCAGCTAGCACCTTTCACCTGTTCGTGTGTTCTTCACTGTACATTAAATGATTAATCAAAGTGCCTCAACTATGTGACCGTTTTTTCAGACATCAGCCTGCAACTGGCAATAGAGTGGGAATTAATAATTGAAGGATTCTTACAAAAAGGGATTTGTGGTGGCATAAGTGGCCTCTTGTTCTCCAGGCACTGAGCCACTAAACTGGGGTGAGCAAAGGTTAGAAAGACTAAAGGGTCATCCACAATATGATGCCTTCTTTTTAGAATGGGATGAAACAGGGAGGAAATTAACAGTGTTGGGCAGGTTACTCTAAAAATTTAATTAAATTACTTATTACTGATTACTTCTTTTAAAAGTAATCAAGTTACTGTTCTGATTACTTTATTTCAAAAGTTACATTACTAGTTACGTTACTTTTTTCTGTAGCTACATCCATGAAATTTACATTAAGTTCCAGTATAAACGCTCCTGGTAAATATTTATTATTAAAGCATCAACATTCACAAAACACTGTTATTTTTAAAGGGGTCATATGACGTTGCTAAAAAAGAACACTATTTTGTGTATTTAGTGTAATGAAATGTTTTTATGTGGTTTAAGGTTAAAAAACCACATTATTTTCCACATACTGTACATTATTGTTTCTCCTCTATGCCCTGCCTTTCTGAAACGCATCGACTTTTACAAAGCTCATCGTTCTGAAAAGCAAGGTGTGCCCTG